CCTCAAGGATCATCAAGCTCCAATCCTCCACTGCAGGCAGGGCTGCCAACCTCCATATCTAGTACTAGATCAGTATTATTAGACTAGTATTACTAGTACTACTAGACCACATCTGCCCTTTTTATTCCAGTTGCTTACACATGCACATCTCTTTGTTTACCTCACCTGCAAACCTTACTGTTGTGATGTTGCTCACTTGCTGCTTGAGCTGTTTATAAAGAACAGAAGATCATTTGAAAATAATGTGTTCACTAAAAACAAAGTGGTGCTTCTGCTTTCACTTCCCACATTCTGACACAAGGCTGAGATAACCCAGATAGAATGGCAGATGAAGGTTATGCTGTATGACCCTGCACAGTTTTGTGAAATATCACCAGAATTCAAGATAAAGTGGCAATAAAGGAGCTGATGGGTCAGACAAAGGTAGCTGTAATTTATTACATAACTTTCTTGCTGCACGCAACCCACAGCTTACCCAGACCCAGCATGGGCTTCAGGCAGAAAGTGACATCATATCTCAGAGGGGAACAGCAGGGAATCACTTCTAGGTTGCCTTCTTAGGTTGTCCTTCTTAGTGGTGGAAATCAGCAACAATCACTACTGTGAAGACAGACTGGCTGGCCCTCCTATGATTTCTGACCTATGACTTGTCTTTGTTTTTTCCCTCCAGCCTGCAATTTCACAGAAGCATAACATGTACATATTTCCATTTTTGGACATGATGAGTACAATCGATGTTGTACATGGCAAAACTGTTTGCTGATGGAACATACAGCGAACTCCTGTTGCTCAAGGTGCTGTTGAAACACAAGCACAAAATAGTAGCCTTTACCCAAAGAGGATGAAATAGAAGACTGAGACTGTGTGTGGGCGCATGCACTATCTGCCCTTTGCACAATGAGGTGACATAAGGACCCAGTGAGACCCTGCATGTCAGTGTAAAAGTGGATGGCCATAAACACATACTGGGTATTTCCTCTGTCTAAGCTGACACATCTGCATCCATGTTGGTAATCTATACTTTCTCTATTGTCCAGAAAAAAAAAGCAAGGCATGTCTCCTAAGATAGGAACATATGGCAAGTCAGAGGGTTTCTGCATCCAGAACTGGCTCTTTCTCCCCACTAACTGCAAAGGGGCTTAAGCCACAGGCTTAGATGTTGAATATTTCATATAACACCAGACGTTTGCTGTTCTTGAATATACACGTTTGGTACAACACAGAGGGTAGCATGCTCACTTCAATTCAAAAGGAATACTGGAGTCAGCCTATCTTTCAGACGAAGAAATAAAGTGTGAGGGAATTATGATTTCATTCTGCTCTTCACTGTAGTAAAAAGCTTCTTTTAGTTCCTAATAAACACATTCTCCTTGTGCAGCCCTTAGGAAAAAGCACAACCATTTTCCTTCCAACCATACTGCTGGGTCTAACTACCTGTGCCTCCTGGGACCTTCCTCATGAGTGGAGAGGGCTAAAGTAAGATGATGAGTGCATGGCATGAGGTTCCCATCCTTTGGGAGAGCCTGTACATACCATTTCATCTGGTCTTGAGACTGTGCTGTTGCATTACAAAGGCCATATTCATAGGTAAGTCCCATGTTGGGCTTGAAGGTAAGGCAGTGCACATCAGGTGGCCTGGCAGAAGGCGTGAAAACACCCATTTCAGCAGATGGGTGTAGCATCCAATGTTCAGCTCTCCTGAGCTCATTTCTGCCAATCCTCTGGGGCTCTGTGGGTTCCCTGTGTTCTTCAGAACAAGGTCATAGTTGACTAGCATCAACTCCTGTTGCAGCTCACTTGGATGAGATGGGCTGTGCTCCCTTGGTCACTGAAGCAAGATGTCTCATCTGTACCCTTTATTACCTTTTGTTCCTGGATCCCATCAGAGAGCAATCCCAGCTGGGAACCCCTGGAGAATGATCCAGCAGCTGCAAGCAGATGGTGACCCACTCAACCCTGACCTCTGTTTTCAGTGACAGCTGTAAGAAATGTTTCTCTCTGAGCAATGTGTTTGTGTCAAGGGTAATCCCCAAGGGTGGCAGTGGCTGCCTTAGCCTCCCATCATGCTACTGAGTTGTCCCTTGCTTTGCCCAGGGGCATGATGTGTGGACCAGGTAGCCATTGGTTTCAATTTTCCAGTTTGACCAAGCAGAAGGCAAAAAAGAATGAGAATAGAGGCAGATCTCCAGTTGCAGCTGTGTGCCAGGAAGAGTCTTCCCTGAAGGCTGCCTAACAGGGGTGTCAATGAGGGGACTTTCCAGCCCACCGTGCATTCAAAAAGCAAGTGCTGGTGACATTTATTCACACCCACCTCCTGAGAAAAACTGGCAGGCTCTGAAGCATTATACTTTTTGTTTGCCTGTTGGGAGGCTGAAAAAGTAGGAAAGGGGTCTGCTTCCTCATGCTGAACTAAATAAGGAAGCAGGGAAAAATAAGACCTTTCGATTTCACCAGGTTAAACCACTTTTAGGTTTCTAAAAATCTAAGCCAGAGAATAAAAAGTTAAGAGTTTACACAATCATAGCACATCATAGAGTTTGGCACCTTTGCCTCTCTCTTTAACCCTACATAGTTTGAAAATACAGTGTTACAAAATGGAGAAGATAACCTGCCAACAACGGCCATGGCAGCAAATTTGCTGAGTAATGTGACTGAAAGGCACATCAGAGAAATTTTCTATGTAACACTGGCTCATGTGACTGGGAGCATCATTTGATCCACAGCAGCTGGTTGGTATCTTGCCTCAGTACCTACTGGCATGTTGTGCAAGCATGAAAGTTTGCTACAACTCAACTGGTTTCTTTTAAATGAGCTCTTCAGTTTGTCACCAGTAAAATGTCTCAGCCTGACTTGTGCTACTCCTTTGAAAGCAACTTTGTGACTTTTGCTGTTTGAGAAACTTGTTGAATTTCTGCTCATCCCCATGACCAGAATTCTTCGTTTGTTCATATGAGACATCACATGTCATCCTCTCTGCAGCCAAAGTTCCATTGGAGCAGGGTTTAGCAGGTTTGTTCCAGCAAGGACCAGACTTGCTTGCACAGTGTTGGGGCTTCAAAAAATGGCAGCCAAAGATCAACTTCACTGCAAAATATAGTAGGGAATTTAAGGTATCACCACCTGAGAACCTGCCAGCAGCTCTCAGCATTCAGGAAAGTACTGGGGAGTGTAGACTGGAAGGTGAGCTAGCAGAGTACTTAGTCAGTAATTACGAATGATGATTTTTGAAAATGCTGGAGGTGGTTTTTTTTCAGATTATCTTGAAACTCTGAGAAATTACTATTGCAGATTCATGTTTCAGCAAACAGCATCAGGCCAGCCCAAACTGAAGCAAACCGTCTTGTATCCCTGTTAACATGACCCCTAGCTGACTTCAAATTATGTTTTTCCTGTTTTTTCACTTGGATGGTGTCACTGTCACAAATTACTTAAAGAATGCTAAAGACCCTAATACATGTGAGAAATTCTGAAGACCTGTATCTATCAGTCTAGATGCAAAAACCCTTTTCTTTTCTGGGACTTACTGTTTACCTTCATGTGACCTGCATTTCTGATACACTGAGCATGGTTTCCATTGATCCATGTCTATGGAACACTTTCTTCTTTCCTGCCATGTTCCTGAGGCACCCAGTACCAGGAGAAACTAGGTGTGTTTTCAAACAAGAAAGCCTGTATTTTGGGGAGGTTGGCTTAATTGCCGTCTGAGCATTGTTACCTTTGTCTGCCATAAGAAATCCTTGCACAAGTAGTTAAATATACAAACATCTATATATGTAGATTGGCCGCATTTTTGTCTAGCCATGATTCCATGATTTTTACTTAGAAGAAAAATACAGACACTCAGGGCAGATTTGTGTACTGCATGTATAATTCACACCCGTAACTGTTCTGAGCCCCACAGAGCCCATTTAAGTGGACTATCCTGGCCTTTCTCCGTGCCAAAGTGTTCATGGAGCTAACCTGTGTTCAAACTACCTGAAGGCTTCTGCAGTGTGGGCTGATTCTGAGAGTTTGTGGTTCTCTGCACAGTCAAGCACAATCCCATTACATTATACTTAAGCCTAAAAACTGCTTAACAATGGGGAAGACCAAAAGTCTGGATGGCAGAAGCATGCAAGAGGAATGCATACCTTGTGAATGAGCTTAGCATTTGTTTTAGCTATGGAGGTCTTAGGAGCTTTCTTCTACTTCCTGATTTTAGAAACAATTTGGGGAACATCCTTTCTTGTGCTATTCTGGAACTTCTGCTTGTAGTTGCAATTGAAACTAAGATTTCAGAATGCGTGTGGTGGTGGGAAGTCCCTGCAGGTGACCACAGCTGACTTCCATATCCAAATATTCACCAGCTAATGGAAGGCTTGAACACAGGTGATTTTTTGACTTAAGCCATCTCACAAATGTACTTACAAAATGTAGGATTGTGTGACATAGAAGATCATGTCAGACTAGTGAGCCACCTAATGCAGTGTTGTGGCCTAACCCAACAGGTGGCTCAGCACCACACAGTTGTTCACTGACTTTCCCCCTTCCCAGTGGAATGGGGAAGAGAACTGGGGAGGAAAAAAAGTAAATATATATATATATATAGAACTCAAGGGTTGAGATAACACTATTTTCTAAAAGAATGAGAAGGAAAAGGGTAATAGTTAGGACTATGTGATAGTTCTGATGTCAAGTGGTATGGAATATCCCTTTGTGCAGTTCAAGTCAGCTATCCTAATTCTGTTCCCTCCCAGCTCCTTGGCCTCTTAATTGCAAATGACCTTGGTCTGTACAACACTGCTTAATAGCAGCTGTAAACATCGGTGTGTTATCAACATTGTTTTTCTCCTAGAACCAAATCATAGCATCATCCCAGACACTCTGGAGAGAACAATTCCATCCCAACTGAAACTAAGATGCCTAGATTTCTACCTCTAATGGCAATTAATGTTACTTGCTTCAAAAATAACTGCAATTCTCATGTATTTATAAAGAAACCATATCTTTCAAGCCTCCTGTACGTTAATATGGTTTATTCTTGACAAAGAAAGCATAGGAGAAGGCTGGTTTAGGTTCTTATTTCATTGGAAACTGCTTGCCTAAAAAAAGAAAGGGCCGTAATACTGGTAAGCACTTCGGTCTTACAGTACATCAGCTTCTGTCCCTGTGGAAAAAATAGAACAGTGTTCAAAGGACAGTTTTGGTAGGGACCATGAGTACTTTTTGAGTCATCTACCTAGAAGAGTGAGTTAAGGTGTCTGGCTATCACTCTAGTGCCTTCACGTAACATCACTAAGGCAAACAATGCTTGAGTGGGCCTATTGTCAAAATTCTGATTTTAATTACTGCTTTTCTTTCATGTAGGCTCTCTAAAATTCAGCTTCTTATGTATCTCCTACACTAAGGCATAAGAAAGTGCTTCCATTAAAGGCACAGCCTATCTTCTTCAAGTTCCAGCTGAGCTCCCATTCACTTTCCTCTGTCAACCAAGAAGAGGCCAGGAAAAGCAAAGACAAAATTTACAACTGCCAATTCTTCTACCAGGGAAAAAAAGCAAAAGAAACACCCCAAAGAACTGGAAAAGACTGTCACTCCTCAAAAAATGCTGAAACTCATATCTCAATATTGCAAAAGTGACATTGCAAATCAATTTTAAGAATTCTGGCTGTAGGGGAATTTCTGAGGGGATGTCTTTCTAATACAATAACTGATACTTCTTTAATTACCCCAAACAATGGAAATGAAAAACTACATCTCAGCAGACTGTAAAAAGTCAGAGAGGACTACAATTAGACCTTTCTGCTCTTTTTCAGTCAGCTCTCTCTGACAGATCACTTCTCAGCAGAAATGAATAGTATTGATGAGAAAGATGCATTTAGTCCATTAGTAGGGCAAATAGTTTCAACTGAGGCTGAATCAGGGGGTGTAGCCTCTGTTATTTCCTAGACCTTCAGACTGATAAATTAAGTTCCCCATGAGTAATTTGAGAAGTGCAGGGTGATGAAGAAGCAGCAACTTGTCTGAATGTAGGAGGAGAGCAAAAAGCCAAAGAGCTGTGGTAGGCTGGCTGACCTGTGAGGCTGGGTGTCTGCACACCTGAAGCGAAAGGCCTTCCAGGAGTGACTGCTAATAATCATCTCACCCTAAAAGAGGTCCAAAACAAAGTGGGAAAATGAAGATCTCCCATAATGCACAAGAAAGGGAGCTGGGATTACCAGTCCAGGTGAGGATGTCCCTGCAGTAACACTGGACCTTCTCTGAGATGAGCCCTACATTGAAAGTTAGTGCTGGTGCTTCCATTCCCTCTTCTTAGACAGCAGAGTCCCTTTCTCCAGTGCTACCAGAGAAACAAGCATGGCTTGTGGTCCCAGGGAAGCCTGGTTTGTGGTGCATTTACAACGTGTGGCAGTTACCTGGACAGGATGCAGAAGGAGGATGTGATCGTTTTTACTAGATGTTTGAGCCATGTGGAGTTTAGAAACATGCCTACATGCCTACAGTTGCAGAGAAAAAAAAATCCCCCAGATACTAGAGAACCTCACACTTCCTAACCCATCCTGCGTCTGCTAAGGTTCAGAAAACCTTTCCTTTTATTGCTGCAAAAGAGCTGTCCTGGTCCGCTAAACAAATACTTTGCTGAAAGTCCCTAACCAGATCTATTTATACACCAGATTACAATGAATCCAGCTGGCACCTGGTCTGAGTGGCAGCATTTTCTGAGTGTTGACAGTGTATTAAATTCTTGAGGCACTTTCTGATAAAGGGTTTAAAGATGTCGCTTCCCTCCGCATGCCTAGCATCCTTCGTTTTCCTCCATTTGCAAAGGTTACAGGAAAAAAAAATAATAAAATAAAACTTAGAGCCAGGACTCTGAATGAGCACTTTACCCAGCAGTCTTCAGAGGAACATTTATGGTCTGTAAAGCATATGAAATCTGCTTAACAGTTGGACCTCTATTGTGCTGCATCTCTTGCAGGACTGTGTTTGCAGCCCCCCTCAGACAAAGCCTGTCCAGGGAAATTCCCTCTCAGCTTTAAGAATCTTCCTGAATGATTACACTTAAAAGTTTCTCAAAGTGAGCAGAGTGCTCTCCCACATCCATTTGTTTGGAAAGACCTGCTCACAGGGTGTCTTCTAGACTGAAGACTGGGTTATGGGGGTCTGGATGGAGAAGTCCCAGTAAAAAAGTGCAGCAGGAAGAGAAGAGCTACATGTGACTGAATGCAGTATCCAGGAGCTGTGGCTGTAAGGGATCACTCTCCTAGAAGGAACACTTGTCTTTTGCATATAAAATGAGAAGTGTCAGATGGCTGATTTGAAAGCCAGAGACAAATGCTGGATAAACAATCACTCAACTGTTTTGCTGACAAAAGGTTGCTGTGTCAGTATGTCAGATATAGAGACCAGATTGGTGTCTGAGGGTGGGCATGCTTGACTGATGCTGATGTTTTCGATCTAGCTGTTACTATGATTATTATAAACCTTACTTATTATAGCGCAGTGCCCGGGGCTCAGCCAAACCATGGCACCAAACGGAGGTCAGATCTCAGCGTGGGCAGGTGATAGTCTCAACACATCAGGTGCCTGGGGTCTGTATGCAGAGGAGGTTACAATTTTGTGTGACTGTAGTAATCCTATTGAAACAAATATTCTACCACTGCTTTTGATGGAAGATATCTCCACAGCCCAGCCAAGACAGCCTAGGGGTGTCTGTGGCAGTAGGCCTTCTGAAGCTGTGATCCAGGTGGAGTGGGGACGGGGCACTCATGTGCCCATTTGCTTGGTCTGGATTCCCAAGCATCACAGCCACGGTGCAGTTGTGGCTGCATTGCTGTACTGCTCCCACAACCTGCTTCACACTGGGTCCCAGCCAGGCCAAAGGAACACAAGGGATGAGGAGAAATAAATATATGTGATTATTCTCTTTACAAAACTGTTTTGAAAATGACTTTTGCATCGTGAAAAATTTAGCCAAATAAAAAATCTTTTCACTGAAAACACTAAGGTTTTCTCAGATGAAAAACAGCTATTTGAAACATGAATCAACTTCTTGCACTCCTTCCATTTTCAGCAAGAAAATCCCCAGCAGACTCCTCCCCTCTCCCCCCCCCCCCTCCAAAAAACAAAAGAGATTCTGAGAGCTGTTTTAAGAAATCAAAGAAATCAAAACTTTTCAAGTTTATACCTCAAGCCCATGCCCAAAAGACCTGTTTGTTTTTCTTGGTTTATGTCAGTAAATGTGGAGTGGCAGATTCATGCTGCTCACCTGCGGTTTGCACAGCACAGCTCCAAACAGAGCCAGATTTTTGCTTTCGATTTGGCTCTCAATTCATGACATTGAACTTTGAGAAATCCCCGCAGACAAAGGCAGGCCGCAGTACTACAATTAGTCAAGTGCAGGATTTTCCCAGTGTCTGTTTATAACTGACTGGAGAGTTTCTTGTGTTTCTTGTTATATTTTTAAAAACATTTAAGGTAGGGGGTTTTAGGGATTATTTTTGGAGATAAAAATAGAGAAGAAGTAAGAGAAAATGTTCTGTATTTGACTTGATCTTTATGAGACACCATCAGTGTGTACATCTGCCTGCATGGAAGTTGGGTTACCTGTGCTAACCCAGAATTGGTGGGAGCTCACCACTGCGTTTCTGGAAGGCAGAGATCCAGGGTTTTGCTGGGGCCAACTTAACCACTGCAGAAAAGAGCAGCATGTCACTGGCAGTAGTTAAATACTGCTATTTGCCCAAGAAAGTGAGGAGTTTTCCCTTCAGAGATCTCTAGATGTTCTTGGTTGCTTTCAGATGCTTATTCTTCTCCAATCTTGCAATTAGCCCTAATTTTTGCAACGTAGAAATGAAAGTGACATATCAGAGTCATGGTTGGAGTGATGAGAGCAACAAAGAGTGAGAGCTGGCTTTGGCCTTGAAGGATTATGCAAACAACACTGGAGAAGCAGATGGAAATTGTGCTCAAGGAAGGGATGTAAGATGAGAGAATATCAGGCTGAAGAGAGATGTTTCTCTCTTTTCCTTTGGAAACTAGGTAACACAGAAACATAGGTTCATCCATAAAGCCAGGAAAGAGTCCATCAGACAACTAGTCCACTCTAGAATTTAGCTAGTGAGTCTCAGAGTGAGCCCAGCAGTGCATGTCTGCCTAAAACACTTTTGCTCGTGGTTCTCACAAACACCTCCAAGAAGCCCTTCCTTCCTACTTGGAGATCTCAGCAGAGAACCCACCATTTACCTTCACCATTTTTTCCCTGTGGTTCAAGCTTCCAACAATGCCTGATACCTGTGTGGTTATTTCCACATTTTACTTTTCCCACTTCAGAAAGCTACCGCATCTCCTAATACCTCTCTGCACTAAATTCAAGAGGTCCTTGAGCCAGCTGTTTCCTCCTCGTGAATAAATTCACACACATACCCTGAGTCATCTCCTACCCTTCCCTGTAGCATCCTGGGCCGATATCACTCATATTCTGCCTACAGAGCTTTTTAAATCCCAGCAGAAGTTTTCTATGGGATCTTTCAGTGGTTTTGTCAAGTTTCCAAGCTCTTTAGAAAAACAAAGGTACTCAACTATTCAGTTTTTCAGACACAGTGCTTCAAACACTTTTGTGAGATAAAATTAGTTTTCATTCTTCTGCTAATTGCTTTTTATACACCCAAAGGTCACATCAGGATTCTGCCATTACAGGACAGTGCAATAATTCAGCTTCTGTGTCATGGCTCATAAATCTTTTTTGCACACGCACCTTTGGGACAGGTTCACACTGTTGGGGAGAAAGCCTTTTTGAGGGCAGCACCAGCAAGAGCCCTGAGTTTGCTAGGGAGCAGTAAGTAATAAAAACAGCTGGTATTTGAGGGCTGCCCATCCACTGTTCAGTAAGAAACAGACAAATGAATTTGGACAAAACTCATTCTCCTACCCAGAAGTGGACAACTTCTTTGTGCTCCATTTTGGTGTTAAATCAAATGGCATTTTGCTTTTATGCCTATAACTGATTTGAATTGAATAGCCATCCACTGAGGGACGGGCACTGTGCACAAAGCATCCAGGAGGCACTTCATCCTCTGGTGAGAGCTTTTTGCTGGGTGCTTGAAATCCTGGTAACTGCCATTTCTTTCATGTGCAAAACAATCAGCATTGCCTCAGACTGCAGCTTTATGGGGCTAACATTTGCACTCCCATGTCTAAACGGGCACTGTAGAGGAGCTCAGGATCCTCTGTTTTGATTAAAAAAAAAAACATAAAAGTGCAGGTCAACACACACTATGTCAAGGTCCTCTGTTGGCCTGGCTAGCTGATAAGCACTTGCATTGAAGCAGTAAAAGGCAGATAACTTGAAGGGCAGTAAAGATGTTCCTTTCCACATTCATACACAGTTTGACAGCTGGGGCCACTTTTCTGCTCCCTTCTTGCCCTCCATTCATGTTCAGCCCATAGGGAAGTAGGAGGTTGGGAAGCAGAGGCCAGGAAAGCTCCTGGCTTGTAGTTAACTCAGCAAAGTCTTCCCCAGCATCCTGGGCCTCCCACTCTGTTACACAGTGAGTTAAGCAGAACAGATGAATTTTCTGCCTTATTTATACATGGTTTCCCTAATAGGTTACACTCCAGTCTTTTGCGTCATGGAGAATGGCACTATGTCCAGCTGGAGGCTGGTGACAACAAATGTCCCCCGGGAGCCTGTCTTGGGATCAGTGCTCTTCAGCATCTTCATCAGTGACATCGGTGATGGACTTGAGTGCATTCTCAGCAAGTTTGTCGATGACACCAATCTGAGTGGTGTGGTTGACATGTTAGAAGGAAAGGATGCCATCCAGAGGGACCTCAACAAACTGGAAAGGTGGGCCCACGTGAACCTAAAGAGGTTTAACATTGCAAAGTACACATGCTTCATGAGAAGCAGGAGCAATGCTCCAGCAATACCTGCCCTAGTGCAATGAGAGGAGCACACCCACGTGATGGTACACACTGCTTCCTCCTGAGGCCTTGATTGCAGTGCAGCCTTGTGGCATCAGGAAGCTCAGGGCTGGAGCAGTTTTGCAAAGGTTGACATTTACTATTAACCAGTTCTGTGGAGACTGAAATAAGATGTGCTGTTTGTAGGAGGTGGTTTGTGGATAGGAGAAAGAGTAGGAGTAGGAGGTGTCACGCATGAGTCGCAATGTTTACCCACTTCAACCTTGATCTTCTTATGGACTGTGACCTCCTGGGTCCCTCAGTCACACAAGGCTGCAGGCACCCAAACTTGTTGGAGCTTGGATGCTGAGTTCACGTGGCTGGCAGAAGAATGCTTGGCAGTAGATAACTGCTTAAAGCTGGTCTTGAAAGCTTCTCAGATGTGGCAGCACAGAAGGAAAGACATTGGAATTCTCCTGGTTCTATTCATGTTGATGGCTGGAAACATCCTATATGGGCTGAAATCATGGCAGACTTTGAAGCTGCTCTCCAAACAAGCCTGCAGTCATATCACCCTGATAAGATTACATTCACTCAGTTCTCCTACCTTCAGAGTCAGATCTCTCTGACAGGGAGCAGGCACATGCCTGAGGGACCATGCACCAGGCAAGGGAAGGACGAGAGTCTTTTGGCTGTGCTCAGACCTGCTTGTCGTAGCACTGGCAGCCCCCAGTATCTCTTCTTCCCTGCTCTGAAAGGTCCCCATCTCCACTGGAGAGCAGTGGACTTCACAAGTACATGCTGAGTGCCATTGTATTAGAGCAATCAGAGAACCAAGCTCTTATCTGCTTTTTGCCTGTGAGTTTCAGTATTCTTTAATGAAGAGGGTGCTGAAGAGGAGGATTAAGAGAATTTCCCTTGGGCATGCAGGAAATCAGTGAAAATCCAATGGAAATGGAAAATGCCAAACTTACTTTGTCTGAAACATTAAGCTTGGTTTTGCTCTGGTTTTGAGTTCTATCTAAGAATTCACACCAGGCCACTGCCAGCAGGGCCAGGTATGCTTTTCCATCAGCCCAGGGCTCACCCAGGGTTGAGGAGGACCCTGCAGCCCCAGCACAGGTACCCAGAGAAAGGCTGGTGTTGTTCTGTGTGACCTAAAAGCAGGTCTGTGCCAAGGACACCTGAGGAGCAATCCTCTGAGGTGGAGGCAATAGTGGCACAGAGAACAGCCCCAGAAGCAGTGAGTAGATGGTCTGATTATCAGGAGCCCAGCTCCGAAATGCTCTGGTAACACCAGGAGGTCTTGTGTCCAGGTCTGTTACATCATGAAAGGGAAAAGTGGGTTTTCTGGGTGGGTAAGGGGGACAAAGAAAGTGGAGCTGTACCAGTGGCACACAAAGGTTGTGGCCGTGCCCAGGGCAGAGGATGTCATTCCTACTGTCCTCCCCTACCTCTTGGTGAGACCAACCAACACTGACCATGGCAACAGTGCCACAGTGCATGGACCTGGCACAGGGGTGATATGACACAGAGCAGTCCACATCTCTTCTATTCAAAGCCACCACCCTACCAAGCAGGGAGACCTTGTTCAGGCTGCCTTCTGGGGATGGCCAGCTCATGCCACTTTCCAGCTGGAGCCTGGGAGCTGCCAGCCAGATCTCACTGGCCCATGCAGAACCATGATGGGAACACCCGAGCAGACTTCTATGGGCAGCTTCATACTGCTGAGCATGAGAATGATCTAGCTGGAGATCCTGAGAGGCTGCTAAATCCAGGGCTTCCAACACTTCTAATGGGCTTGGCAGGACTGCATATACCCTGTGAGTTCCCTATCAGACATAAGTTGCTGTGCTGAGCCCTGTCCCTGCTCAGCCAAGGTGTGGGCAGCCCGTGCACAAACATGCTGCTGGTGATGCTGCACGTACTGCAGTGATAGCTCAAGGGAAATGCCAAGAATGAATGTCAGTGCTGGGACGCCTACAGTGTGTTTCCTTTCCATCACCAGGCAGGATGTAAGCTGTCACAGGTGCTAATTAGCTGCTACTGAGACCTCCAATGAAATGGTCATGCTTTTTGTCAGCCTATTTCTCATTTTGAGACCTTTTCTTCTCAGACTAGTCCTTTGACAGGGCCACAGGACTGAAGCCCCCATGTCACTGAAGTCCATTATAAAGTCTCCTTTCTAGGTCACTTTTCAAAAAACATAAAATTCTCTTTTCTATAAACAGCTTGTGAGCATTATGGAGTGCTGGCCATTTTGGGGTACAGATGTGACAGTCCATATGTCTGAAATACCCACTGTACTCTAAATCCAGAAATGAAATGGTGACAAGCAGTAAAACGGCAGTAATGCCTGGAGTCCCTC